AGACCAGGACACGTCTATAGACCAGAACATGGTCTTCAAAAATGATTATAAAAAATCCATGATTATACCCCGGATCGGGTCATTCAACATTTTTAAAAACTCCCCTCTTATAGACCAGGACACGGTCTTCAAACATTATTAAAAAAATCCATGCTTATAGACCAGGGCATGGTCTACAAAAGTGATTTAAAAAATCCACTCTTATAGACCAGGACATGGTCTACAAAAAATATTTCAAAAATCCACGCCAATAGACCCGGACATGATCTTCAAAAATTATTAAAAAATGCACGCTAATAGACCAGGACATGGTCTACAAAAAATTATTTAAAATTCACGCTTATAGACCAGGACATGGTCTACAAAAATTATTTAAGAAATCCAAGCTTATAGACCAGGACATGGCCTTCAAAATTATTATTAAAAAATCCACGCTTATAGACTAGAACATGGTCATCAAAAATGATTCAAAAAATCTACCCTTATAGACCGGAAACTAGTCTTCAAAAATTATTTAAAAAATCTACGCTTATTGACCAGGACATGGTCTACAAAAAATATTTGATAAATCCACGCTTATACCCCAGGACATGGCATATAAAAATTATTTAAAAAATCTACGCTTATAGACCAGGGCATGATTTTGAAAAATTATTTAAAAAATCCACGCTTTATAAACCATGATCGGATTATTCAAAATTCTTAAAAAATCCGCTCTTATAGACCAGGACATGTTCTACAAAAATTATTTTAAAAACATCCACGATTATACCCCGGATCGGATTATTCAAAAATTCTTAAAAAAATCCACGCTTATAGACCGGGGCATGGTCTACAAAAATGATTTAAAAATACACGCTAATAGACCAGAACATGGTGTTCAAAAATTATTTAAGAAATCCACGATTATACCCCGGATCGGATCATTCAAAATTCTTTAAATGCCTTTAGATAAGGATTTTCCTAACTTTAGCTCATCTATAAAAACTCTCTGACTTTCAAATTGCTAATAAATAACCTCTATCCCTCAGTTCGCCTAAAAAGATGCCCCGATCTTCAGTTTGTCTATAAAGACGCACTTAGCTTTATATCATCTATAACGACTCCCTGGCCTTCAGTTCGTGTATAAAGACTATCTAAACTTCAACTTGTCGACAAATGCTCTCTAAGCTTCTGTTCGTCAATAAAGACTTCCGGGCCACCAATTCGTCCATAATGACTTCCGGACCTTCTGTTTACCTTCGCCTATATTGTCTATCCAGACGCCTTGTGTTTTAAGTCATCTATAACAAGTGAAAAAGCGTTAAGTTCGGCCGGGCCGAACTTTGGATACCCTCCACCATAGATATACTGACATGTATTAGAAATGAAAATATAGGGAACTTACCAAAAGGTGGACCTATACCGACATTTCTAAAAAGGGATTATGTAAACCATAATACAAATTTCAGAAATTTTTAATGGATAATTATACCCTCTGCCTTATGGCTAATAAGGGTGTATACAATTTAACACTGTGAAAATGTGCCTCATCGAAATATTGGTTCTAGACCCAAAGTTTCTTTGGACTAAATCCATTTCAGAAAATTTAAATTTCATCCAAACTTTGCCCATCTTATTATTTCTTCCAAACTTAGTTCAAATTCAAAGATGGGGAATATCGGATCCTTCTGGAACCTCCACACAGGGGCTAGGTCTAAATGCGGCTATAGTTCATTATCGAACCTTACGTTATAATATCGTATTTCGCTATCCTCCGCAGGGGAACAAATCAGATAACTATTTTAATATAAAAAGGGGGTTATATGGAGACTACACCAAAAAGGGGGCGAATATTAATAATTTTTGGTAGGGAGATTTGTTACTATATACAACTACAAAATACTAAATTGCAGCAAATTTGGTTAAAAAACGCGCTCAAGAACCCTAAAATACCGAAAATTGGGGGTACCCTTATATGGGGGCTATCCGAAAAAATTGACCTATATTCATAATTTTTTGTGGGGAGATTTGGTAGCTATTAAGGACTCAAGATACTAAATTACAGCCAATTCGGTGAAAAAATCCGGTCAAAACCCCCCAAACACTGGAAATTGGGAGGTACCCTTATATGGGGGCTAAAAGTGGACCTATATATAATTTTTAGTGGGGAAATTTGGTACCCAGCAAGAAACCCATGTACCAAATTTCAGCGAATTCGGTTGAATCCGGCGCTCAAGAACCCTAAATACCGAAAATTGGGGGGTACCGTTATATGGGGGTACCAGAAAAAATTTAACTATATTTATAATTTTTAGTAGGGAGATTTGCTTCCCAATAGGAGCTCAAAGTATTAAATTTCAGCGAATTCGGTTGAAAAACACGCTCAGGAACCTCAAAACACCGAAAATTGGGGGGTACCCTTATATGGGAGCTATGCCTAAACGTGGACCGATATATCCCATCTTCGAACTTGACCTGCCTGCAGACAAAAAACAACTTTATGCAAAAATTCAGCACCCTATCTCAATTCCTTCAGAAGATAGCGTGATTACAACAGACGGACGGACAGACGGACGGACATGGCTAGATCGTCTTAGAGTTTTACCCTGATCAAGAATATTTCGATGTGTTACAAACGGAATGACAAAATTAATATACCCTCCATACTATGGTGGAGGGTATAAAAACTTCCTTCGAGTTTTATTTAAAAAATGTGCTATTATTTCTAGAAATCCCTGGAACAGTCCTTATTTGATCGCAAAACATCGATTATGCAAAAATCTTTCTATGTTTGTCATTATTGTTGTTGTTGTCGTTGTCTCTTTCAAAACGATTTTTATAATTTAATTTATTTGCCATCAGCAACGTAGTTGACATGTCGTTTCATTCATTCATGCCTCGAGCATATCGCTGGAATCTCTATAAACGGTAATAATCTTTAGATCGGTTTGACAAGCATTTTAATGAGTACAAGCCTCCATCCTCCTCCTCCCCCGTCCGATACTGATGGTGGCATTGGCATCATCAATGAATGAATATGAATGGCAAAATTCTCCTACGAAAAACCATTTTCCGAACAATGATGATAGCGATGAAGACATATCGCCTAAGGGGGGATCCCAAAGAGGTTATGAGCAGATGTAAATCAATGACAATTACAAGACAATTGAAAGTGATGGTATGTGGTGGTGTTGTTGTTGTTCTTGTATTTTATTTTAGCTATAAATTATCGAAGTTTTTTTGCATACAAATTTTGCCACATACCTTTGTTCCTCTATTGTTTTTATTTTGGCGGAATTTTTTACAGGCAGGCAATGGAGCTGGAACTGGTGCAAGTGCTAATTTCGGTACTGAAGGTAATGGCTGTGCTGGTGGTACGGGGGCAACATGAGCCACCGGCTCCACCGAGAAGGAGAAGAAACCGTACCACAGCATTAAAACCATTATGAGGATCGGCATTGTAGTCAACAGTACGATTGGTACCATCCGGATCAACAACAGAATAACTGCCCTTTACCACATCACCGTGGCGTGTTTTGTGTTGACTTTTCAAGTCAACGGTGTAGCCGTCTTGTATATAGTAACCGAATCTGTATTTCGGTGCTGGATCATAGGGTTCAGGGGGGCGGCCGGTTTGGGGTGCTGAACATATATAATAAATGTTTAAGTAGGCAACTAACAGATCTAAACTTCCCATGTGATACATGTGATCCCGGTCCTGAATATGGTCCGTAGTGTAATGACCCATAGTGTAATGGTTCTGGGTATGGCGCTACAACGTCACACTCATAAAGGGCCAGAAATTCTGCCACAAAGAGTATCTGAAAAAAGAATGATGTAGAATATTTACGTTGGGCGCCAAATTTGAAGCAAAGCTCGCGAAATTTCTATATTTTTCCTATAAAGACTCCCTGTTTTCAACTGGTCTATAAAAACTTCATAATCCCTGAGCTTTAGTTTGTCTATAAACTGATCATCAATCATTTATAAAAACTACTAGAACTTCAGATCGTCCATTCAAACTCCCTGAGCTTCAGCTCATCCATAAAGACTCTCTGAGCTCCACCTCGCCTATAAGGGCTCCTTGAACTTCATCTCATCTATATATACTACCCGAGCTTCAGCTCGTTTTTATATACCGCTTGAGCTTCAGCTCATCTATAAAAACTACTCGAGCTTCATCTGAGCTATAACGACTCTCAGAGCTTCACCTGAGCTATAAAGGCTCCCTGAAGTTCAACTGGTCTATAATGACTCCCTGAGCTTCAGCTTGTCCATAAAGAATCTCTGAGCTTCAGCTCGTCTGTAATGACTCTCGGAACTTCATATGAGCTATAAAAACTCCCGGGACTTCAGCTCGTCTATAAAGACTTCCTAAGCTTAGGTTGATATATACAATCTCCCAAAGCTTCATTTTCTATAAGGACTATCTGAGATCCAGGTGGTCTATAAAGACTCCCTGAGCTTCAGCTAGGTAGTCTACAAATATTCTCCTTTCCTATTCTTTGTTTCACTGTTCCCTCTGGCTGCCACCACACTCAATCCGTCTGTCTGTCCCTATGGTTTTCTTAAAGATTTGTTACTTAAATTAGCGCATTGTTTACCATTCCATTCTGCATCGAGCACCAAGTGGCCAAATGTCTAGTTTGGTAAATCGATTGTTAGTTAAGAAAATCAACAACTACAATAACAACAAAAATCATAATAGCTCCCTCTCCTCGCTATTAACCCATCCGCAAAGCGGGAAAATTGTTTAACTTCGTGTTGGTTATTGAGCTGCATGTGAAGCTGGCGACATTTAAACGAAAAACCCAACAACAACTACACCAACTTTGAAACTTCATTGAATCAAGCTTCTAAACGACCAACGCTGACTATAAAAGTTAAGAATTGTCAGGGCTTGAGCCTCAGTTAATTTTTAAAACTTTTTCGATTCATTTGTAAACGGATAGTGAGAGTGGCAATTGTTGCTGCTGTTTTAAATAAAAAATAATAAAAAAATCGAAGGATATCAAAGTTCGCTGTAACAGGCATAGCAATTTGTGAATTTGTGCGTACGATCGGCAAGAAGGTTGTAACATATCCTTGTGATATGTTAATGTTAAAGGTGTGTGTGTGTGAAATATATTAAAAATCGCAAGGGAGTCAATGAATCTTCTACTAAAATAAGAAGAAGAAGTCTTTGAATGTCCAGCAGTTTCCATAGAGTAATTGAAGGGATAATGAGACTCTATGGACGAACTGGAGCATCAAGGAGTTTTTAAAGACGATTTGAAGCTTAGGGAGTTTTTATGGACGTGCTTAATGGTCAGGGAGTCGGTATAGAAAAACGGAAGGACCAGGGAGCCTCTAAAGAAGAACTAAATGGTCGGGGAGTTCTTATAGTCTTTATAAAGGAGCTGAATAACTAGGGAATCTATAGAAGATGTGAAGTTCTAGGGGTTCTATATAGAAGAAAGTCGAGGGAGTATCTCTAAAAGTGCTGAAGGACAAGTGAGTCTCTGAGACGAAATGAGGAGCATGGAGATTCCATAGATGGGACCTTCAACTCATCTAGTCTACACAAACAATGAATGACCAAGGAGTCTATGTAGGCAAGCTGAAGAGTCAGGGTGTCTCTATAGACTAGCTGAAGGAAGTTTTTAAACCGATAGACTAGCTGGGGGGATATTATGTGCGAGCTGAAAGTCATGAGGGGAAGACTGGAGCTCAGGGAGCCTTTATAGGCGTTATGCAATTTAAGATAGTCAATATTGACCAGCTGATGATCAGGGAGTCAGGAGATGAATGTGTAAACCCTTATACACAACCTGAAGGACCAGTGTGAGGCTTTTAGAAGATCGCAGAAGTCTTTGAATCCCTCTAGAAGCGCTGAAACCATGTCATGGAGGTGTCGACGTAGGCGATAAAGGTTTTATAAATAAGGGTGCGGTCATTAGTCCGGAAATCTATATAATCAGCCTGCAGGGTTAAGCAGTTTTTCTAAATGAAGTCCAGAAAATTGAGTTAAATAGTGTCAGGTGTGTTAGCTGAGGCTCGGAGGATCTTTACATACCAGCTAAAGCCCCGGGAGTCTTTATAGAGGAGCTGAAGCCCAAGGAGTCTTTAAAAACAAAATTCGGAGAGACTTTAAAGATGAGCTGAAGTATAGAGAGTATTTTCAAAGGCCATGACATTTAGGGAGAATTTATAGACGAGATGAATGGTAGGGAGTCTTTATGGGCTAGCAGAAGCTCAGGGAGTCTCCACAGGCGAACTAAGGCTCAGGAAATCATTAAAGCGTGTTAAGCCCCAGGGAGTGTTCATAGACCAGCTGAAGGTCGGGGAGCCTTTAGAGGGATTTTTTTATGGACCAACTAAAGCTCTGGGAGTCTTTATCCACGAGCTGAAGCCCAGGAATTTTTATAGAGGAACTGAAACTCAGGGAGTTTTCATAGATGAACTGAAGTTCAGGAGTTGAACCTTAGGGTGTTTTTATATACCCGCTGAAGTTCAGGGAGCCTTTATAGACCAGCTTTTAGCAAAGAGTCTATATAGAAGTGTTGAAGCTAATGCTCAGGAATCTTTATAAACGAGTTAATGAGCCCTTATGGAAAAGCTAAAGGATTCGAGGAGACTTTTAGAAGATCGGAAAAGTCAGTGTATCTCTCTAGACGAGAGAGACGAAATTTTTATAGCAAACCTGAAGTTAGAAAGGTTATTATAGACCATCTGAGGGTCCAGGAGGTTTCATAGATGAACTTAGAGGCAGTTTTTTAGATGTCACAATTAATTGGCGACCATATTAGTGTTGTTAAGCATTCCAAGTTCCACGATATTTTAAAAAATTTAATTGCAAATATCCATCTATATTTTAAATTTGGCAACCAACGTAAAGCTTATCCTTCATTCTTATTTGTTATGGACAATTTGAGGGTTCTGCAGGTTTCATCGATAAACTAAGAGCTTTTAGAGTTTTCCAAGTTCCGTGACATTTTTTAAAAATTCATTGCAACTATCCATTTTTTAATTTGGCGCCCAACGTAAACATTCTCCATCATTCTTCTTTTTTAGATACTCTTTGTGGCAGCATTTCTGGTCCTATGTGAGTGTGGCGTTGTGGGGCCATACCCAGGACCATTACACTATGGGCCATTGCACTATGGATCATATCCGGGGCCAGGACCACATGTAGCACCTGGTAAGTTTAGATAAATGAGCTCTTTTAATTTCCCCCTTAAACTATTTATTTTATATATGTTTCAGCTCCCAAACCGGCCGCCCCTGAACCCTATGATCCAGCACCGAAATACAGTTTCGGTTATGATATACAAGATGGCTATACCGGTGACTTGAAAAGTCAACATGAAACTCGCCACGGTGATGTTGTAAAGGGCAGCTATTCTGTAGTTGATCCGGATGGTACCAAACGTACTGTAGATTATACTGCTGATCCTCATAATGGTTTTAATGCTGTGGTACGTAAAGAACCATTGGCGTATAAGGCTCATGCTCCAGTACCGGTTCCAGTTCCCGTGGAACCTGTGGCTCATGTTGCTCCCGTACCACCAGCACCACCATTACCTCCTGTACCCAAATTAGCACCAGCTCCTGCTCCAGCTCCAGCTCCATTGCCAGCTCTTTATCACGGTTATGCACCATATCCCGCCGATGGACCACATGGCTACGGACCGCATTATGGTGGTCCTCACTATGGTCCATATCATAAGTAGAAATGGGAAATGTAAAGAGAAATTGAAATTTGCTGATTAAGGCTTTGTGCGTACCAATTTTTTTTACGAATTTTTATTAGCGCTTTTTTCAAACAGCATACGGCGACTTCCCCCTAATTTTTTTAAATACATTTTTTATTATAATTTTTCTCACATTACCTATTGCAGTATCTTGTTAATGAATCTTTTCTGTGATTTAATTCTGCTGTAACTCTTGAGTGTATTTATTTTAATTTATTTAGTCTGTCTTCTGTTCTTCATATACTTTTTTCATCTTTAGTCTCCATTATTTTCATTTCCTTTTTATTTCGTGTTCTAATATTTGTTAAATACTGAAAGTATGGTTCATTCAGTCCAGTGTTAAGTTTTTTTTCATAATATGTATCCTCAATCCTATTCTTAATTTTATGCATCCTCTCTGTCCTTTATTCTTTATTTTTTTATATTTGTAATTTTATTTAATTATGATTTTTTTTTATAAATATGTATGTATTTTTTAAAAAAAGTAATTTTAAAATAAAGACAATGTGTGTGTTGTTGTTTTACAAAAAGTGAGGAATTTTTTTTGGAAAGGTGAATTAAAAATTAATAATTCGGGGACAAAAGCTCAGGGAGCCTTTAAGTAGAGCTGAAGGATAGGTATTCTTTATAGACGTGTTGAAACTTAGAAAGTTTTTATAAACGATATTGAGTTCGGAGAATCTTTTTTGACGAGTTGAAGGCCAGTGATTCCTTATGAACCAGTTTGTACTTGTTAAGATTTTATGGATCAAGTGGAACTCAAGAGGTCTCTGTATTCGAGTTGAAGCTTAGGAAGCTTAGCTAAGCTTAAACGATTTGAAAGACCGGTGATCGTTATGCTCCAAGTAAAGCCAGGCCAAACATTTTTGTAGAGGAGGATAGTTTATAGATGAGCTGAGCATTTATAGACGGGCTGAAGGGTCGTGGAGTTTTTATAGACGAGCTTAAGGATCAGGGAGTCTTAATAGAAGAACTCAAGGGTTTGGGAGTCTTAATTGATGCAAGTCTTGTCTGGTGTAGGTGAAACCAGGCCAAATTTTCGTAGATGCGAATAGTTTTATAGATGAGCTAAGTATTTATGGACGAGCTAAAGAATTAGGGCCAGATTGAACTCATTGGGACTTTTTGGATCAGGTGGAACTCAAGAAGTCTTTGTAGACGGGTCTTTATAAAAAAATGATGGACGCGAATAGTTTTATAAATGAGCTGAACCTTTATAGATAAGCAAAAGCTGAAGGTTCAGGGAGTCTTATGGTCGAGGTGAAGCCAGGCCAAAAAATGTTCGTAGATGCGGATGGTTTTATAGATAAGCTGACCCTTTATGGACGAGCTGATGGGTTTGGGAGTCTTCATAGAAAAGCCGAAACGTCAGAAAATCTCTATGTACGTGAAGATAGGTCAGACAATTTTTATAGAATATAATGAATGGCGAAGAAGTCTTTATAGATAAGCTTATAGACGGAATGATGGGTCAGAGGATCTTTATAGAATAGCTGAAGACTCAGGGAGTCCTTATAAATTAGGGAGAGCATATAAATGCCACGATCTGAATTTCAGGAATCTTGATGAGGCTCAGACAATCTTTATAGACGAGCTGAAGCTCAGGGAGTATTTATAGACGATCATAGGCCAGTGAGGCTTTGAAGGCGATCTGAAGATGAGGGTGTCTTTATAGACAATTGAAAGCCTGTGAGTCTTTGAAGACGACCTGAAATTTATGGAATACCAGGCTGAATACCAGGCTATCTTTATATACAAACTGATACTAAGGGAATTTTATAATCGACCTGGGAGGATAGGTAGTATTTATGGACAATCATAAGGTCAGTCAGTCTTTATAGGTGAGGTGAAGCTCAGGGAGCTTTTATAGAAGCGTTGATGCACAGGGACTCTTTATGGACGAGGTGAATCTCATGTAATGTTTGCAAACGAGCTGAATGCCAGTGAGTATTTATGTACGAGCTGAAAATCGGGGAATATATATTGACGAACTGAAGTTCAGGGGTCTTAAATAATGAACTAAACCCTAATAAGTATTCTTGGACGATATGAAGCTCAGCGAGTCTATTTATACGAGCTGAGGGTCAGGAATTCTATATGAACCAAATCGAAAGCAATGAAGACTCATTGTGGTGGAACTTTGAAGGTCTTCGAAGTCCAGAAAGTATTAATAGAGTTGAAAGATCAGTGTGTTTTAAGAGGCGGCAAATAATGTTCAAATTGCAATTTTAAAATTTGCCGACTTTGGAGGATATAGCAATAATTATAAAATAAAATGCCGATAATTCTTTTTCTTCCATAAGCCGAGTTTAAAAAACATTTCCAAGCGCATCTCATCCAATTTGAATGACCCTGTTCCGAGATGTTATCTTCTACTTGATCTTTCCATCGGATTCGTGACCATCCCCTTCTGTGTGAACAATCACTTGGCACGCTTTTATATGCCTTTTGAGCTGGGACATCCTCATCCATTCCCAGAACATATATCTTCTGGAGAATTTTTCTTTCAAACACTCTAAGAGCTGCCTCATCTGTTTGCGCAAGTACCCATGCTTCAGATCCATACAACAGCACGGGTAATATCAGCGTCTTGTAGAATGCGAGCTTGTCTGGCGAGAGGTGGCCTTGCTTTTGAGTTGCTTACTCATACCATTGTAGCATCTGTTGGCCAACACTATTCTCCTCCGGATTTAAAAGCTGATGTTATTAGTTTTGTTTAGAGCGGTACCGAGGTATATAAAATCGTTCACTACCTCGAAGCTGTAGTTTTCAAGTTCCACAGTTGGTCTGAGTCCAAGGGATGTCTTGCGCTTGGTCCTCTCGCCATTTAATGCCAGACCCACTTTGGCTGACTCCTTCTCAATTTGTTCAAAGGTGGATGATACCGCTCGCAATGATTGACCCATTATGTGGATGTCGTCGGCGTTTGCAAGTAACATATGCTGCTTTATTATTTTTTCGTCGATTGATTGCTATTCTGACCTTATCTTGGCTAGGTGGTATACACTCTATACCGTCATCTCTTATTAGTTCTGGGGTATCTTCTTCACCGCCACTATTTAATACCAGAAGCCTTTCAAAATGCTCCATCCAGATCCTCAACACGTTGTCTGCATCTGTGACCAGTTTTCCTTCTTAATCTCTACAGGTGTTTTACTTGTTGGTAAAATTTGTGGACTTCATTCTGATTCCTGTACATCTCGATTTGCTCACACTCACGTTTTTCTTGTTCTTTCTTCTTTTTTCTGAAAAAGTAGAGAGGAGAAACCTCTCTACTTTTCCCTCGATAATTCTCCATCTGCAGAGTTGCCCTATACGCTGCGTTTAGGGCATTATGACACTCCTGATCGTACCATGGGTTTCTTGATGGTGCTTTTTGTTACCCAAGTGTTGCAGTTTGAAGGGTGTTGGTAATTTTTTTGACATTGTGCTTCTATACTATTATCGGGACAAGGAGTAGTTTTGTCAAGCAAGTGGGTAAGTTGATCGGAGTAGGGTTATGCTACCTGCTGTGTTTGCAGCTTTTCGACGTCAAGTTTCCGTATTGTGTTAGATTGCATCTTTGCTGCTACATTAAGACGAGTGCGAACCTTGGCTGCTACAAGGTAGTGGTCCGAATCGATTTTTTGTTGCAGGCTGAGTTTTAACTCGGTTGAGCCAAAGATATTTTCCCTTACTATTTTTGCATTAAAATCTCCTAGCAGAATTTTAATGTCATGGTCAGGGCAGCGGTCATATGCTGTTTCTAGGCTCTCGTAAAAAATGTCTTTGGTCCGTTCATCTTTGTCATTCGTCGGAGCATGGGCGCAAATAAGACTGATGTTTTTATACGGATTATAGCAATTCGATCATCTACTTGAGTGAATCTGGAGGTCACAGCGGGGAGGTCAGTGTCCATAATTGAGATGAAAGAAGGACCAAGATAAGTCTGGGCTTAGTCATGTTAAAGTAAATCAAAACCTTTGCTTGGTACCTATCATCCCCTACATCACCGAAAATACCTTTATATATTATGTTTTTTTTTTTTCAAAAAAATTTGTCCCAATTTTCCATTACGCAGTGCCATAATTTATATTACGGTGCTATTATAATATATTTATTTCCAGAAATGTACAGAATTCAGAATTTGTATAAATGTGACGTACTCAACCAAAAAAGTGCGATCTTCAGCAAACTCCCACTGCTACTTATCAAATAATCTAAATTATATTTATAAAATAATTTCCTACAAACTTCCACTCACAAGACCATTGAACTCTTCGCTTGAATAAATATGGGGTTTGGGATCCAAACAAAAAATTTGGGTGCATTTTAAATTGTTATACAACTGGTTCCATTTAAATTATTATTCTCGTATCTTTAGTGAACTATAAAAAGTTAATCCTTATATAAAATATACAGATTTTTCATTGAGAAATCTGGCGTAATTACACCATTCCGAAACGTGCCTGACAAAATATATACATACAACATATTTTATTAGATATAATAACATGACTAAGCTAAAACAAATTACGTTTGAAAATTTTCTAATGCCGTCAGTAAAATATATTAAAAGAATTGTCCAAAAAAATTCCATAACAAATTGCGTTGCTAAAAAATTTTTAAAAAACATGCAGGATCTGAAGATTATGGATATTTAAAAAAGATAAAAGATAATAAACTTAAAAAATATATTTAAAAATCCAATCTCGTGATATTTCTTGAAAAATTGTTAAAACAATGGGTTATATATTGAACATTTTCTGGAAAACCATATTGCTCACCTTCCATGAACCTGGTATACCAAAATACAACACTTATGGTTGTTTTTCATTGATGGTTTATGTCTATGCTACAAACACGATCAATTGTTGTATGGATTAAACCTATAGGGACTGAATAATATACAATAATTTGTTCGAAAATTACCTATCACCTAAAAAATAATAAAATGCATTACATTTTCAGCGCATGAGAATAAATATTGGAATTTCAGA